TGTTTTGTGAGGTGGAGGACTTTGTGGACTGGTGTTGGGTTAATGTTGGACTTGTGGGCTTGGGCAGCATTGGGTTGGGATGTTTTTGTGATGCACACTTTCTGTACATAAAACTCTCTTATACATGAGTTGCTGTGAATTTGTTTCTCTAAAGTACCTAGACTAATACACCAGGGGTCATGACAAACGACTGCATGTCCTCAGCCCCAACTTGCCAATTTATTTCCCTACCTTCCTGACATCTCATAAGCCCTCCTTTATATAAGAGATATGGTAATCTATATTCTTCTAGTAGTCTACTTTTAATTCAGTTTTTAAAAAACCATCTTTACTTCCTCTGAGAGCTTAAATGAGACAAGGTCTCCTATCTCATTAGCATTAGGAAGCTCACATTTCCATGGGGGAGGCAGAAACGCTCATGTGACTGGAAAACTTACGGGAAGGAGGAGGTACAGGGAGGAGTCCTTCCTAATCACCTCTAGAGGTCACGGAGTCACCAACTTTGTGAGTTTTCTCGTCCATAAAGTCACCTACTTCCCTGCCTCCAACGTGTCCCTGAGCGCCCCTGTACCCTGTTCATTTCAGGGTGCAGCAGAAATTCCAACAGTCCCATCAATTGATCCATCTCTCTTTGTTAATCTCAAATTCTTCATGTTTCCTTTCCATCTGCTATATATTTCAAACTAGTTGGCTTGCCCATTGGTGAGACAAAAAGAAGCCAAACAGAAATTACTCATCTTTCCTTAATAATCGTTCCATTCTTGCTAATGCTACCAAAGTTCAGATATTTCAAGGGAGAGTACTGAATCATTTTCTACTTGAATATTTCTCAATATCATTTCACTGTACAAACTTTTCACTTGTTTGGTATAACTTCTGCTATCTTCTATGTTGGTACTCTTTAAAGCAAGACACAAGCACCCCTGAGTCCAGCTCACGGAGAGCCTGGTCAGAGGCGCAGAAGTGCCCCAGAGGTTGTCAAGGTGCTGTCCTTTCTGAAACAGAGCACCAGGCTTTGCTTCCGAGGTGCTTCTGGGTGGGTTCAAACTCTCAACCTTTCAGTTGGTAGTCAAGTGCTTAACCCTCTGTTCTACCCAGGGACTTCAATATTATTCTCCTAATGATGGGTAACAACTTAAATTTTAATCGTTTTTCTTAAACTGTGACTTCTACCTCTTAGCCTTCATTTTCATTCTTTCTCTCCAACTTGCTGCTTACGTTATTACCACCTGGGCAGCAAAGATGCTGTAAAGTGCTACTGGTCCCAGGGTACAGCCCAAGACCCATATCCATCTTGTCAAGCCTTAGATTTGGCTACCCACCGCCTCCTTCTAATTTTATCCACTGCCTCAGACCCACTTAACGCTACCAGCTTTGCAGCTTGTATGGGGACTAAAGTGTACACAGTTCTTGCTATAAGAGAAGTCACTGATTAACAAATAACTGTTTAAAAAGCTTGATGACAGGAACTAAAGACAAATTCCCAGACTTTTTTTTCCCCTCCCCCAGGAAATTGCTAAGAAAGAACAACACGAATATCTGGAACGAGAGCAGCATATGCATTCAATTTGGGTTGTACTTATTAAGGCATTTCTCAACTATGCTATGGTAACTCGGAGCTCAAAGCCAGACGATATTTAAATTGGGTTCCTTTCATGGGTCTGAGATTCCACAGAAATGCCCAATTTGGCATATGCAAGTCACAGCGTGAAACCTAAGTAAGTCCCCACTCTCAAATGCATCCTGCCATTATTTCTACAAAGACGATCAACAAGAAACCCTACACCGCCTATGTATCACCAAGGAGTCTGAAAGGGAAGAGATGTATCAAAACACCTCCAACGGAAAATACCTTACTGAATATGGAACAATCTTCGGATTATCATGGAAGGCGGAACGTTCGTGCCTTCTCACACACAGGAATTGAAATATATTTCGCTGTTTGTAGAGTCACCAATTGCATTTAAAATAAACTCTGGATTTTACCTAGCTACAGAATGCTGCCATGATTGTGTGATTCAACAGATGCGTGCTCATCAGCTGAATGCGAGATCGCAAGGCTGTCTCCAGAGCTACAGCAGAGAAGAGTGCTCACAGAGCAGATGCACATGCCACGATCAACAGCCTCGAGGGGGCGGCGTGGGGGTGGATCAGAAATTCACATTTTTCTTCTTCAACTGGTACTAACGCTTACTTCAGGAACATGTTTGACCCATGTGGATTTAGATAGCTCAAGCAGGCATATTAATTCTTTCCGGGAAAGAGGACTCACCAAGGTGACAGAGAATGAAGTCAATTTAATAAAAGGAGTCAATAAAATACCACATGGTCAGAGCAATCACATATGTGTGGAGCTGCTATCAAACCACAGAGGCAAATTCAATGCAGCGAGGGAAAAGAGACGCATAATTAACACACCAGATGTCTATATAAGATCATTATGATTTAATCCTGAAAGTTAAATGATAGAACCTGCAATATGAAATCTTGGTTCCTTTATACTAAGAATTGGGTTCACCTCTTTTCAGTTAAAAAATGAAATAAAATAAAAATCGGTGACAAGAGAGCCATTTAAAAAGAGAATATTGCTTTTAGGCCAAACATCTGTAATGAAAACAGGATTCGATTTCTTGGCATCTCATGGCATTTTTGTATAAGTCAACGTTCATTTTGTTAAAATGTCAAAATCCCCCAATGAAAATATTCTCACATACATTCATAATTCAAAGGCTGCTTTTCTACTACATTAAATCCGAGCACACTTAATCTGCATAAAAAAAAAGAGAACAATTTAAATTCACCTTAATAAGGTGCAGAGCAGTACAGTGAACCCTCGCCACTTCGCGCTTCGACTTCCACGGCTTCACTCTATCGCGGTTTTTGCGTAACAGCGCATGCTCTGTCATTACTGCCACTGATTGGCTCATACTGTACACGCTTGATGCCATAAATAATATAATAAATAATAAATGATAATTGTAACGTCCAAAATGTTTTACTGTATTTTCCCTTTTTCATTTAATAAATTGGGTAATACGAGTGTAATGGTGACTAAAGGGTATTTTTTCATGTCCTCTATGCTCTAACTACGAAAATATTTGATTTACAAATAAGGAATCCTACTTCGCGGAATTTCATTTATCACGGTAGGGTCTAGAACCGATTAACCGCGATAAACGAGGGTTCACTGTATATTTAAATCTCGGGATCAGTAAGGGAATTTATTCTAAAAACTGTAAGTTCCAAGAAGTCAGGCCAAGCCTTCAAATCTTTCTGATAGACAACTGGGATAGAGAAATAACAGGTCTAAAGTGATTCTAGTCCCAGAGCTTAGAAGGTGGACATAATCGCCGCCCTCAAGCATACTGTCATTTAGGAGGTAAATGCTATTGCACACACAATCCTGCACTAACAGTGCTCTAGGAGGGGACACATGGTTGTATGTCCAACAAGGGCTGAATGGGTGTGGGACGGAGAGTGGGAGGCCACCACATACATCTATTGGTTTGACAGAGGACATGTGTACATGGTATTTACTGTGCCACAAATCCATTCGTGAACGTGGTGGAGCACAGAGGGTACAGAGCTATGAAAACTGAGTCATAACCAAACACCCTGAGGGAACGAGTCCCTGTGCCTGGCCCCTCAGAAACCAAAGTCTGGGGAGACGCCAAGGTCAACTAGCATAACGGAGTTACAATGTTCTACATCTTATATTGAGGACCAGTGGCTATCTAAGGTGCAACCACTGGTCTATCCTTATTCAGAAGAAAGAAGAGGAAGGAAAGTCAAAGACACATTAGTCCAATGGACTAAAAGACCAAATGAAGACCAGTCTCCATGAGTCTGAGACCAGAACTAGATGGTGCCCTGTTACCACCATCCATGGCTCTGGAAGGGATCACAGTAGACGGCCCTCAGGACAAACTCAAACCAGACAAGAGACTAGCCTTATTGGTCAGACAGAGACGGGTGGGACCTTCTAAGAGTATGGTTAGTCGCCACCCTTCAAGTCTCGATTTTCAGTTCAACCGCAGGCAGGTCTATATGGGAAATAACAACACTAGTGAGGTCCACACACCTTATGATAATCCACCAAATGAGATCACGAGAGGAGCATTTACCAAAGACAGTGTCCGACTCCCATGGAGGAGCTGGGCTGCAGGGTGCTGCTGCCCTCCCGCCCCCCCACCCCCCCAGGGGACAGTGTGAATGAAGTGACGTAAGATGTGTACAGACAGCTGCATGCAACACTGACAATCTGCTTCAGAAATGTTTACCTCGTTCACAATTGGAAAAAATACTACAATGTTTTAGTAATACCCTCTCCTCCCAAAAAGAATACTGTCATTTTAAGGTGATGAAATGTATGGCAATCCAGAATCTTACAAAAACACAAGACTCGCTACCAATACATACGTGCTTTCTTTGTTATTTGGAACATACTCTTACTCTCCATCAAGTCCATGCCAACTCACAGCGCCCCTACCGGACAGGGTAGAGCTGTCCCTGTGTGTTCAGAAGACTGTCACTCTGCACGGGGGGTTGAATGCTTCGTGTCCCCCCACCCCCACCCCGTTTCTTTGAAGCACTGATCTTTTGGTCCAGCTGTCCAACCGATAACTCTGTGCCACCAGGGCTCCCAGAAGACACGAGTTCACCATGGCAGACAAACCACACGACGAGTAGTTATCCATGCATCCGCTACAGACAAATCCCAGACAGCGAGGTAAGTTGTCAGGGAACACATAGGCAGCTTTCTAGATGTAGGAAAACGGTAAGGCAGCCTGGTGTAGGTAAAATGTCAGGGCCCAGGAAACAGTCGGATTTGTCAGCCCTGGCAGTAACCCTGAGAGAAAGGGAAACAAAACACCGAATCTCACTGTTTTCTTTCCTGGGGCTATAAATGTAATAGGCTGTATAGCATTGCGGGGAAGAATCGTGGGAAAAGATTGAGGAAAAAAATGAATTCTACTACGTGGTTAACTGAGAACATGCTAATGAACATGTCTGCACCGCCGTTCTGGAAAACCCCGGAGAGGGTTGTATGAGTTGGAATTGATTCCGTGTCCGTGGGTTTTATTTTTGTTCGTTTGTTTGTTTGTATTTTAAGTCATACACCAAAAAGGCATACGAAGAACCGCCTTCTGAGTTGTAAGAAATGAATGAAGTAGCTACAATCGGGATTCCGTGAAAGCTGTGGTTGATTGCTGCTGTGTCTTGACCAATACGCTACTCTCCACAGTGCTGTTGTTTGGTCAGTGGAAGGGGAGGTGTTAAAAACATAAAATCCTGGTTTTCCTACTTTCGTATAAAAGATCAGCGAGGCTTTTTAGGCAGAGAAAAGAAAATGGGGTAAGGGGTCAAGGTGAAGGCAGGGCCCACAGAAAGTACCGGTAAAAATCACGTGTGGAACAAAGTGAAAGGCGCCCAGGAAGGACACAGAAAGACTCGGAAGATAATCTGAACCAAGTACCAAGGTTGGCCCATGGAGGGAATCGCGAAGTCCCAGTGATTTCAGTTATCACGAACCATGACAAGTGAGGACACGCACATGTGCCGTGCCAAAGAGAACGCCTTGGCTTCCATAAAGCCCCAAGAAGGGGCTCTTAATAACACAAGCTCAGCGGGGCTCGTGTATGTAGAGAATACGTGGTAACATTGCCCACCGGGTACTTGGCCGGGAAGCGTGACGAAATGGAAGAACCATGTAAATAAGGGCCTTCAAAGTACAAGAGCGCGGTACCTTGGCATCTTTTACTGCCACTGAGCTGGAAGCCAGGTGGGCAAGTGCAGTCATAAGACCCGGCGGTGTTGACGCAGGCTCCTCCCTGGCAAATTTGACGGTCCTCCAAGCACTCGTTGATATCTACAAATCAATTGGAGGGGGGAAAAATTAACTATCTAAGAAAATCTCACACACTAAATCACATCCTTTTACATTGCTGCTCTCTTATGTAAAGTCTTTTTATATTTGATTAAAAAAAACAACCTTTGACATTTAAAGGTTTTTTTAAATCGCCTCAATTTTGAGAGTTAAAAAAATGTAAGAGAGCCTAGACTGTGTAATTAAAGAATTCTGTAGCTTCAACGTCAAATGAAATTAATTAAAAGGAAAGTCTAATCATGTAACAAACAATAATTTTCTTAGTGACCATCTGCTTATCAAGACTCTGTATCACACAGTCCAGGAAACATTTTTCGGCACGTGCCATGGCGGCCTGCCCTCAAAAGGATAGTCAGTTAAAAAATAAAAACAAACACAAATGAGGATGAAAATGATTTATAGGCCTATAATTTTTTACAAAACAGAATTATTTATCAAGAGGCTGGTACCAATTCCAGGCTCCAAGAATATACAGAAGAGCTACCAGAAAAGACTTTCTGTAGCGTTAGGACTTTACTGCGAGCCTTGACAGCACAGTAAAATTCAGAGGAGGGGACATTTTGCCAGGAAGTGGAATCAACAAGAAAAAAAGGCTGGCTCGGAGTTACTTACTCAGCAGCTTCTATCCCAAACAGGTTTGCTATGGCCTGGATATATTTTTAAAGATATACATTTAGAGCATACATAAAAATGGAATGTGGTCTACGTAACCTCTAATGAGTTTTGACTGTGAGCCTGTGAGACAATTAATGGTCCCCTCTCCTTGAATGCCCAGCCGGGCAGGTCTTTCTCTAGGGCTGTTTATGACCACATTCACTCCTCACACACACCGTGAGGCTCTCTGCTGTTAGGTCTGTACACGATTTCAAATTTATTAGCATTTAAAGAAAGTCGAGGTACAAAGCCTTCTTTGTTTTCTCAGAATTGGATGTCTTGGGGCGTTTCTTGCAAAGCATGGCGCTTGCTGTTAAAATGCTGAGGCTTGGGACAGAGCAAATACGGGACGGTTGCAGTCTCCCTTATACTCCGGTCTGACTCAACAAGGTGACACCAAGGCACATTTTCTTCATAGAGCCCAATCAACCTATCAGTTACCTCATGGAGGACTCGTGAGGAGCCCTGGTGGTGCAGTGGGTTAGGCACGGGACTGCTAACCCACAAGGTCAGCTGGCCCCATGCATCAGCCACTCCAGTGGGGAACGAGGAGGGCACCGCTTTCTGAAAGATTCACAGTCCTAGAAATCCTAGGGGGCAGTTGTGCTCCGACCTCTGGGGTTGTTATGAGTCAAAATGGGCTTAATTGTCCTTTTTGTTTTAATATGCAGATGACGCCCAGCCCAGAATGCAGCCCTGATTTCCAAACCCAGGGGTTTAAATTGCCTTTCAGAAATGGCCAATGGACACAATGGGCTTTGCACTCTCAGTTCCTAAAGCTCCTCGGGGCCTTTGCACTTTACACTTGTTCCTCTGAATGGAATGAGGCCCCCTAAATGACCAATGCCATCCTCTCAGGGAGGCCTGGCTTGCCTCCTTGGGCAGAATCACCAGCTATCCTCAGCACTTTCTGTACATCCCACCCCCCATACCTCCTCTATTTTCTCTCTAACATTCATGATTATCTAACATAAATTTATCTTGCTGCTGTTATTGCTCCCATTAGAATGTCAACTCCAAGCGGTCAGGAATTGTTAAAGATTTGCTCTATTCCTCTATGCCTGGCACAGATGTGATACTCACTAAATATTTGCGGAATGGATGCATGAATGAATAACTGATTGACTCTGGCTTGGAAGGAAATCAAGCAGGAAAGAAATATGATCCCGTCACAATTTGGATTCGGTCTGAAGAAATGACCAAGAGAGAGGCCTGGAAGGGTGAGAAAGGGGTGTAGTCTCTTCTTGGGCTTTGCACAGGATTAGCAGAGAGCAGCCCAGTGGAGGTGGGGAGAGTGGAGCGTGTTGGGACAGGAAAAGAATCAGAGACCCTGGCTGGAAGGGGAACAATGGAGAGGCAGAGACCTCCAAGAACAAGGAGGCAAAGGCCACCTCTGTCACAGACTGCACGGTGACTCGGCATGCTGCGGTCAATCACACAGAAATGAGCACAATACTTGGGATTTGGACTCTAAAGAGTGGAACTCCAAGAAAATAAGGACCTTGGCAGAGTTGTTCAAAAGAAATCACACATGTAAATAGAAAACCCAACAAGAAAGATGGTCCTTCGTCCTACAGCTGTGGCAAGTGAACACCCGCAGCTGGAGCAGCTAAGGTTCAATGCCACTGGAGGGGATGTGATAGAATACAGATTTGGAATTCCCAAAGTGAAGTGCTCGTATGACTTAAAAAGAAACAAAAGCCCTTACGATTCAAACTCACTACTGACTCATAGCAACCCTCTGGAACAGGGCAGAACTGCCCCCGTGGTTTCCAAGGCTGTACTGTCTATGGGAATAGAAAGGCCCAGCTTTCTCCCGAGGAGTGGCTGTGGTTTCGAACTGCTTACGTTGAGGATCGCAGCCCAACTTGTGACCACAAAGGCTCCTGATGTGACTTAAAAGGGTATATTAGGTATATACCCTATATATACCTGTATATTAGGTGGATGGACGCCAGTCTAATAATAGCCTACCATTATAAGGTAGCCTCGGTCTAAAGAAAAAAAAAGATCTATTACATACTCAAAAAGAAATTTTCTTATGCAACATTATCTTGTAAATATATACAAGGGGACTTCAAAAAGTTGGTGGAAAATATTCCATTATCTTCCACAAAAATAATATTTTCCCCAGGAGTTTTTGAATCCCCCTCATATGTGAATGATGAAGATCAAGTTTGTGAAAAAAGCTTCTGTTTGGCAAGGGATGAATTCAGAATAAAAATCTTGGGAGTTTCAAAGGGGAGAGTTACACATCAAAACCGCCAAATGAGAGAAACATGGCTTCTAGTGAGGGTCTCTTGATTCCCTAAGCATTAATGGGTGGGCTGGTTTCCTCTTGGCTAAGCTAGGCACTGAAGCTAAAGATATGCCTTACCACCCTTTATTTACTTCTAAAAAATGGGCTCTTCCACAACTGGCCTCTCTCTCCCCTCACCATGCCCCCCACCCCCCTTCTACCTTGAAATGCCACTATGTTAACATTGATCATTCATTGTACAGTGCCCAGGCACTATTTTTTCAAGATGCAATCGTATTTTATTATATTGGTTTACCACTCATTTGGCCATTCACCCACTTCTCCATAGTTAGGGTGATTACATGTTTTCTCTCCTATCATTAACCCTTTGAGGAACGTTATGAGTTTAGATAAAATTCTAGACGTGAATTCATTGATTCAATGACCATGTGCATTTTAAGACTTTTGAAATCCTGCCAAGACTGCCTTCCAGAAAGATTGTGCCATTTTATACTTGCAGCAGCAGGAGATGGGAACTCGGCCACATTGTGAGTGATGGAGTTAACTTCTCTGGCTCAGAAATACAGGTTGTTATCTATACAATGTAATGGACCGTTTCCAGTCAAGAGCTGGGAAGGAAAGGGAAAAAGAATGTGGGAGCATTGACGTGTATACACCACAAAGCTCGTCCACTTCTCTCGAGGGGATGCTTTCAGACCCCTGCTCAGAGACTGTAGGTCTCCAAGTTAGACACACCGGGCCTTGGCCGGGCTTTAAATGTCACAGGAATCTAAATAGAGTACGTTAACATGTGGCTGGGGAAAAATGGTCCTTGGGTGAATGCTGAACCCTGAAGGAAGTCACAAGCCCCGGGATGACAGCAAGCAAAAGCAAGCAGCATGCTGGGAAAGAAATGGCTTTCCTATGGGTCCAGAGGGCCAGGGAAGCACTTCCATTACTCCAAAGAGAGCTGGAGGCACAGAAAGGGTGTAAACTGACCGCTAACTGCTGTCTGAAGGGCATGTGCTTTAGAAACATGTTATGTAAAAATGCAGGACTAGATTAAAGCTTGGCTCTTAAAATCCTTCCATTGCTCTGGAAAAGTACCTGGTGTTTACTTACATGGAACATTTGGATGTCGACCCTGCAATACGGTGTTGGCAGTTCTGAACGACAGACTTCAGATAAGCCATCTGCAGCCGAGAAAAGTTAAAACTGGCTCTTTACCAGTGCTGCCGGCCCAGTTTTCTAAAACAGCTTGGAGGAGTGCAAGGAATACCTGGGTTCCAGTCCATTCTTTGCATTATCTGTATGACCTTGGGGAAATGACTTTGCCAGGGTTCACTAGTCTCGAAGTCAGAGAGCTGAGTTCAAGAACAGAAGTTGGGGTGATGGTCAGGCTGCCCCCGATTCTGAAGTCAGGGGCAATTCCTACCTTCACAATGGTCTCCGAGGGCAGACGCTCTGTAACCCTGGTCACAAACACACTGGAAAGAGCCCTCCGTGTTCCGGCACTGCCCGTGAGTGCAGAGGTGCCGGGGCTGGCATTCATCAATATCTGTGAGCAAGAGGGTAAAGAGAAGACCGTGCAGGGGTGCGGTAAGAACATCTGGTCATTGGTGCTGGGTCCTTTTCGTTTTTGTATTTGTTTTGTATATTTTTCTACATAAGCGATACAGGAAAACATACAATAATACATAAATATATACACAGACAGCAACGAGATTAATAATTTCCTGGGGGTGAGGAAGGAGAATTGGAGCGGCAATAGTCAACAACTATGAGTGCAAGTAAAAGAAAATGTTCTACAGTTGATTGTAGTGATGATTATACAACTCTTGATAAGATTGAACTATTGAACTGTATGATATGTAAATTATCTCTCAATAAAACTATTTTTATAATACATTTCAAATCATTTATATAAAGGAGGCCTATAAACTATATGGTTGGCAATGAATTTATATTAGAGTTCTCATTTATATCCCCTTAAGCTGGTCTCTGGTAAAGGTAAATAATTCTCCTAGTTAGGGAAATCTAAGTGAACTTAAAGTCTGAATTAGTGAGCAATGAATGTGTATGTATTTATCACATTGTTAACTGCTGAGTGGCAAATACTTGGCTATAAACTATAAACCTCAACTAACCTTCTTGGGGTGTCTTTTTAAAGATACCACTACAGCACTTAGGCCTGTAACAGTTTAAGGCAAAAGTCAGCAAACTTAACTGTAGCCATCAGCCAAGTCCACCCTGCAGCCTACTATTATAAAGTTTTACTGGAACACTGCACTGCCCGTTCATTTGCATCTGATCTACAGCTGCATGTGTTCACGGCAGAGCTGAATTGCTGAGAAAGACACCCTAAGACCTGCACAGCTTAAAATATCGGCTCGCTGGCTCTTTACAGAAAAAGCGTGTAGACACTTGATCTAAAGAGTCCTGGTACACACCTCTGCATGCCCTGTCCACTAACTTACCCTTCAGTGGGGCTTCCAGTCTATCTCACTCAATAACAACAATGATCTTTGGGGCCAAATGTAATGGCACCTTCCCTGCTCTCAGCCCACTTGGCACCCACACTGCCAACGCAGCTCCCTTCCTTGGCTTAGAGATGGTTAGTTCGGAAACCACAAGCCCGAGTTCAGGCTCTCTCCCTTATACGTCTCATAGCCAAACATCAAGCCATGCATTCAACCATTTTTGCTTCATCACTGTGATTTTAAGTTTCCTGAGGATAGGGACTGTGTCTAACCCACCCTTCGTCACTCCCTAGATTACCTGGTGTTTCGCAATGATTGAAACATAGCACGTGTGGATGAGGGGGGTTCACAAAGTTCATGAGGAAAAAAAATAGAATGAAAAGGTAAAAGAATCTTAAGACAATATCAACATCAGTGCCCCTGGGGAGCCTGCACCAGTATTCCTCTCCACTATGGTCCTGGCATCATTTTAATCGTCGTAGCACTCGATACTTTAATTCTCCTCCTGGTCAAACAGTGGGTGGGCCTTGGTGTGTCTGCCTTATCCTTGGCAATGACATTATAGGCTCTTCAACAGAAAGCCCTATGCATATTATATCCTCATACATCATGTGCAGAGCATTCCTCTTATCATACATTCATTTATGCTTTTCTCTGTATAGTGGGTATTCATGAACACTTAATAACTGGTATCATAAAACAAAGCATGAAAGCTTTCAGTGTAATTCCCAGAATCTATAATAAATAATTTATCTGTGTATGTGTGTGCATAGGTGTGTGCTCTCATTCTCCACCTCTAAATCAGGAATTGTCATGACTTCCGATGAATTGCGACCTGATAGAACAGAGTAGAATGGTCTCTTGGGTTTCCAAGACTGTTAACACTTTATAAGAGTAGGCAACCTGATCGTTCTGCTGTGGAGTAGCTGGTGGGTTCAAACCACTGACCTCGTGGTTACAACTCCATGGGTAATGCCACCAATGCTATGAGTTGGAATGGATTCCGTAGCAGAGAGGCAATTTAAGTGCATTTGTTCGCTGCTGTCTATGTTCTACACAGAGATCACTGGACATTATGATAATATTAGATCTATATATGTCAATGTCATGCACTGCCTCTTCTATAACACCATCATGGGGACTTTTAGCTCATCAAATATTCATATAGATATGGATATGATTTGTGTACTTAGAACAATTAGTTTTGTATAAAACTAATTCTGTCCTCAAACAAGAAAGGCTATTTCTTTCAAGTATACTTGACAGTGGTGCCTGTCCCAGATAAAGCCTTGTTTTCAAGCTCAGGTAATGTCATATTTTCAAGTTTCAAGAAAACATGCTTATTGGTAACAAAGTATTTCTGTGTGGGGTTCAGTGAATTTTCTTTTAAGGTCTCAGTCCAACTCCAAGAAGTCGACTCCTCACTGCCCTTTCTGTCACAGGACATATTTCACAAACTTGTTCCCTGAGCCTATTTCAGCCTGGCTAAGAGGTCTGTTTTGGTGCCATTTATTAACAAAAATGAAGCAACAACTTTTGCAAGCCAAATAAACACAAAAGCTAAGGTGGTCAACAGTCTTCAGCCCAACCTTGAATTGCTAGAATGACCTGCCAGTTGCTGAAATTGAAGTGTGTAGAACTTTTAGGTACGCTCTATGGAAATCATATTTCTGTAGTAAATAATTATACAGAAAGAAATCATTTTTTCGCCTTCTTGATTAGTTTATCAACCCCTTTCTATCCTGTTTCATTGGCTTTTATGACTTAGGTTTAAGTCTTTTGCTTTCTGGCACCATCAGCCATCACCTTCCCACAGTCCAAGGTCACTTTACGGATGTGCAATAAGGCCGCCGCCTACCTTCACACTGGTCTTTCGCGCTGGACAGCCGGTACCCCTGCCCACAGGTACACCTGAAGGAGCCCTCGGTGTTTTTGCATTGCCCATTTAGGCACAGGTTGCCCTGCTGGCATTCATCAGTATCTGTAACGAAAAACAATAGCAAGTGTTTCAATGAGGTCTGATGTCTAGAACACCTCTGTGACTAAACTTTGAGATGATCAATGTGCTGTCCTCAGAGTCTTCCATTTCTGGGCTAGCTGGGGAGAGCATGGCGAAAACGATGAAGAGCGTGAACAGCCTTCATGCCGGGTGAAGTGCACACGGTCAAGCAGATTTTAGCAGCTGGAGTTAGGCTGGAAGGTAACACCTTGTCATTAGATCTCTGTTTGCACCCATTTTCAATTTATTGTTTTCTTTTTGATTCAGGTTTTTCTCTGTGTTGTTTGGTCATTGCTGCCGGGTCCTGCTTGGCTTCCTGTCTTTGTTTTGTTTTGTTTCTCGGTATAGGAAGCTCAGGATCGGTGGGTCTATGAAGAGAGCAACTGGGTGAGCAACAAACCTGTGAGCAAAAAGGGGAGGTGGGGGCAGAGAGGGGCTGTCCACTGCAAGGGGTGCAAGAAGGAATAAATATTCAAAGTTGAATGTGGTGATTAATGCACAATGACTGAACCCTATGATAAGATTCATGATATGCCAATAAAACTATGTTTAAAAATCTATAGAGAAATCCAGTATGCATTGAAATGTAATCTGGCATTATTATCACAAAAGTAATAGTACTTCCTAAGTGAGATGCTACACATTGCTGTATTCCTCAGTTTACCATGATTCCTGCTATCAACTTCAAGATATTAAACTTTAGAATGCAAGTAATATTATTAATAAAAACCACTCGAAAATCAAGCTCTTCACCGACTCATTCTTTTATACCTGGGGTATAACTGAAACACAGTATCAGATATTTTAGGGTTGAAAATGGAAGATAGCCTGAAACTGGGAAAAAAAAAAAAAAGCCTTCTAGGCAGGAGTTACATGAAAGAAAGTAGAGTTAAACCTAAAAACAAAATTAACAACAACCCCTGTGCCGCCCGCCCCCCCGCCCCCAAAAAAAGAATGAAAATATAGGCAGCTATGGAAACAACTTGTTCTACAATTAGAGGAAGGTGACGAATTATTATGCGAAAGAGTCCTTTTCCAGATCCGGAGCTCATTCCCCAAATGACAAGGCAAGTCAAGAGAAATGGCATTCTGATGCTGGCTGCTGGGCTGTCACGAGAGTGTGATAAGCGAGGATTTTTAAAAAAAATGTCTTGAAGATGAAGCTATTAGCGGGGAAGGATATAATCCTTTATAAATGTTCTAGAAAATGCCATGGCTGCAAACTTACACCACTGCAGTAAAGAACTAGTCTCGTCAGTACCTTGAACACTTGGGGTCAAAGCAGTTTGATTTGTCTGTTTGTCTGACATGGTGGTCTGACCTGATTAAGTCACTCTGTCCTGCCTATAAAATACTGGAGAGGTCAGTTCGCCAACTCGTTGAGAACATAAATAGCTCAGGTAGCAGGCTGGATCCCTGATGAGACCTGATAACACTTATAATACTTTGAAATCTGTCATTTTCACAAAGAGGACACAGCCTTACTATTGTGCTGAACACTTGGTCAGCTTGTAAGAGTTCATGATTCATCCCCCATAGCGCACACCGGTAGGACTTGATGTGAAAACCCCACTAAATGGACTGGGTTTAACCTCAAATTCACCCACGCTCTTATCAACCAACTCCACTGTTTGTGTAAACAGTATCCAGCCACTTAAGAGTTTAATCTGTACTCAACAATTCAGGTATTGAGGTTCGTAATCAGTCCACAATTGACAGTGGGGCCCCCAAATCCATTCACCACGTCCACTGATGGATTAAGTCTCCAGTGAATCCCCTGTGATCCCAGACGAAGGCTGTGAATAGCCTTGCGATCATGCATAGTGCAGAGTTTTTCTTTTTGTTTCTCCATATTTTGTTTTCTTTATTTTTCTGTCTATGAAACCAGGATGGGTAGAACTATAGAGACAGTGACTACATTGATGGTTTCTTGAGGGGTCAGACAGGGAAGGTTACAGGGAGGTGAAGAGCTGAAGATGAATACAAGAGAGAAGTAATGTTCTCAAGTTGACCGTGAAGATGACTGAACAGATCTTATTAATATGCCTGAATTATTGGATTGTATGGTATGAGAAATACATGCCAATAAAACTGTTTAAAATTAAAAATAGTCTGAGATGATGAAAACACTGTACAGCGGCTTATCACATACTGTAGGTTTTTGTGAAAATTAGCTGAACCAAGATGAAAAACACCCAATGTTCATCGTTACACAAAATGGAAACACATACAGGTAGTACCCAATTTATTACTTATTTGAGTTGCAACAAACTATACTTATGACTGTATACTTTTGGTTCTATTTGGTTTTCGTTTTTTTATTTTATATCCTTAGTAACGTGTCATAGCACATACTCTACTGATATTACCATTCTCAGATGCTAAAGCACAGATGATCAAAGATCAGATTTATACAGATATTAAGAAGCAATAATGAAAAGTGAAAGGACAAAAAAGAATTATTCAAACCCCAAGTGACTTACGACAGAGTTGTTGGAACCACACTCTGTCCTAAGGCAGGCTCCTCCTGTCTACGCAGAGAGAGAAGTCTCAGGCTAAATGGAATCATAGATAAAATCATCTGATTTTTTAAAATAATAATCTTGGCCATTCAGATCCATGTATAATTCATTCTAAAAGTGTCTCACTTCAAATGCAATTAGAAATCTCTTCCAGGAGAACTCAATTAACTACACAGTTCTTTCCCCAAACTATTGATGCCCAACTGCCTCTTTTCCTGGGCAAAGATGCATTTCTTTACATCTAATGAAAGGCATTAACCTCTCACATGTTATTTTGATTATTACATGCTTTCTAAAATAGCTCATCCAATTTATTATTGTAATGGGTTCAGGAATCTTAATTTTCAATTTAATTTTATAGCAATTACTTTAATTTGACTAGAAACTTTTGTTCATTTTATTGATTGTGCCATTGGCCTTTTAAAAACTTGTAAGTAAGTCCAGGCTGCCAAATATTGCTTGTTAATAGGTAATTAAATACGAATTATTTACATCTTTCCCATGTTCTGAGGCTATTGGCTTCAGGAGTAGCTGGCAGCAAAGAGCAGTCTACGTCGGACTTAACTGTGTTTCAGAATATTCTCTAAAACACAGAGACGTCGGTTCAAGAACATGCGGAGACCAACACACTTGGCTGGATCCCACATGAGGTCTGACAACGTTTGTAGTGTTTGGGACTCTGTTGGGGCTTTCTCATAGAAGAAGACAGAGTAAGAATTCCCTGTGAAGATGTCTGCAGTATGGATATCCCATCTATTCCAAATATTGTCAGGAGATGCCAGACGTTTGCCATAAGTTACTCATTTATGCTGGGAAGTCTGTCAGAAGTAATTCATTACAAGTAATAACGCACACGTCTGGACCAGCTAGAGGCAGCCGTCATCTCAAACAAGGCGACCTTTTGGGTCTTTAAAATGACCAAGGGGAGCAGAGGCAGCTTAATTCTAGAGAGAAGAAAATTCTTTTTTGATGGAAGACAAACTTCCTAAGACAAAAGAATGCTTTCTAATAAAACCACATTATAAGACAAACATTTTATTTCTTTTGTGCCAAGAAATGAAGAGAAACTATTATTCCCCATGGAAGGTTACTCCTTTAAGGGGCTTTTTGCAAGTGACAAGTCCAGCTCAGATTTTAACTAGAGAGTATCCCCAGGCATTTATAAAGTTAGGTCAAGCAATTCAAAAATGTATTATAAGACAAAAATGCAATAGAGTGAGGTCAAGGAAAACAAGAACATGTCATGAATTAAAATAATGACATGTTTATATCGGAATAAATTTGTCAGTACATCTAGTGAGGTGAAGGCAAAGTAAATGCCCATGACCATCAAGGTGAGACGGGCAGAGTTGGTGGGATATTGGAAAAGGAACAGATTTATCGTGATCTGGAGTAAGTGTGGCATCCATGAGTTGGTGTGATGTGGGAAAAGACTATGTATAATAAAAGAAGAGCATTATGTAACATTACAGCAGAAGGCAGCGCTCTGATAGGGGACTAATGGAAACACGTAAACCACAAATGAATTTCTAAAGAGGATGAGGATCTTGCTGACAGGGTTCCAGATTGAAAGGCACGTACAAATGGCAAGTAGAGATGATTGCCCTTTCCCACCTCCAAGTTTTGGCATGTGGTAGTTTCTCTGCCTATTAAGATTTTTCAGGAGCCCTGGTGGTAGAGTGGTTAAGTGCTATACTACAATGTGCAAAGTTGGGAGTTCAAAACTACTAGCATCTCCTCAGAAAAAAGACTGGGCTTTCTACTCTGTAAACCATTACATTCTCAGAATCCCCCCTGAGGCATCACTGTGAGTCAGTACATTAAGATTTTTATTGAGAGTTTTAGGACCCTGGTTGATGCTAGGTTAGCCCTAAGCTTGGCAGCTTGATTAAGATCTTTAGAGTCCTAGTTGATGCAGTAGTAGGTTAACCATAAACTTAGGTGGTATAAGCCCATCAGATGCTCTACAGACGAAAGTTGTCTACTCCTATAAAGATTTACAATTTGGAAACAGTAAGTTGGAGTTCTACTCTGCTAAGGTCCCTAAGGTGGAATCAACTCGATCATAGTGGAATTGAGATTGTATTCCCTTGAATTCATTATTAAGACTAATTTCAAATAGCCACACCTCTAGAAAGCCTTCCCAGAACCAGAAAGGTAGAATTAGTCCTTCATTTCTTGGCTTTAAAAGAACTTTATTCATGTCTCCAATTTACGAAACAACCATGTAGCACCTCTGTCCTTGCGTTATCTCATGCAATCCTCACATCAACCATAGTTGGTACCATGACTAGTCCCTTTGCCGAAAGAGACAGATAATTGATCCAAATTCTCACAGCTTGTGAGTCGCAGAATTAGGACCTCATCTGCTACTGGCGGCAGTTCCTGTCAAGATTCCGGTTTGTGGTGACCCTATACGTTCAGGGGGGAACCAATCTATCAGCTTGTCAAGGCTGTCAT